CAATGTCGTTCCATTTCCATTCGAAAAGGTGCACGTTGACGGAACGAGCGGTCACATAGTGCGGGTTTTTGTACGCAACCACACTTGTTGCCAAAGTCAATAACCATGACAAGAGTATATGCTTCACCTAAATATGAGAACATAGTTTCTATTACCGTGTTAAAGTAAGAAGTAGGTGAGAAGGATGATTGATAGAATGTGGGAATCGATTAATTTCTTTATTACTCAAAGAGAAGCGTGAATCTCAACACATTTTGTTAGGTAAGCTTTAACTACATTGACATAAACTGACTTATTGAAATAAGAACGTTCAATACTTGTGTGTATGTAAAGGGTTTTTCGTTAAGAGCGATTGAACTTAAAAATTAAAAATAAAACCTGTTTATGCGATATTGCCACTTTTTTTTTAAAGGGCATTCGATGACATTATAAAATATATGGAATATAATTTAAGCTAAATGGCCGCTGTGACTCCGCTGTAGGTGGTGTATCCTGGTGGGCCAATTTTGTGTGACATCTTCGTATAAATGGGGTTCAATTTCACGAAGAGCGCGAGTTATGTTGGCCTTCAGACTGTGGTTGTCTGCATAGACTAGAGATTTCACGTAGTCCCACAGAAAGTAGTCGAGCGATGTTAAGTCACACGATCTCGGTGGCCAGTTGATGTCGCCACCACGCGGGATGACGAAGCCTTCGAATTCCTCATCCAATAAATTTAACGTTTTCCGTTCTGTATGGCAAGTGGCGTCGTCCTGTTAGAACCACATGTGTGAGATCTATCCTATGCCACAAAAAGTTTGTTATCATCGTCCGATATCGATCCCCATCAACAGTGAACGCGGTTCCTTGCGCATCTTCGAAGATTTAAGGGCCGACGATACCGCTGGACCAAAATCCACACCAAGTAGTGACTTTTTCAGTGTAAAGGCATCTGAATCTCCCGTGGATTTTCGTAGCTCCAAATCCGGCAATTTGTTTGTTAACAAATCCATTCAACCGGAAATGAGCCTCATCATTAAAGATTTTTTTTCCGAAAGCAGGTTCAGCAGCCAAATGCTCTAAAGCCCAATCAGCGAATACACGGTCTCTCTGTGGTCGTTGGGTTTTATTGGGGTTAACTGGACTTTGCATGGATGAAAACTCAAATCTCGACGCAAAATCCACTAAGTTGATATCGTAGAAAGACCCAGCTCTGGCGGCCGATGCGAAATGGGTTGTCTGGGGCTTTCTCGCACACTGTCCCGAACGGCAACAATATTCTTTAACGATCTTGCGTTTTTTTAACGTACATGTAGGTACTGCTTTATCGATCAACGACCCTGTTGTCTCAATTTTTTTCATTAAACGACGGATTATGGACTCTGCAGTACTGCTATGAACGCCATAAATTGAACGCAATGCACGGAAAGTTAGGCGAATAGAGCACTGATTTTGATGATAAATTTTAACAATTTCTACGCTTTGTTGAAGTGTTTAGCGTTCCATGGTGAAATTTCACGACTAGATAATAAGTGTTCTTTCCAAATGTGACAGCTATCGCTTTAGCAAGATGGCCGCTATGAGCTGTCAAAGTTCGCGCGTCTCTATTGAAAAACCCTTTTTAATTAAGTCTATAATTTACTATATGATACTAAATAGTATCACTTATGTACTACTATGTATATTTAGTGTCAAGTTATGTAGTATATGTTGCTAGCTTGCATTTTGGTTTTCCCAAAGATAAATGCAACTTTATCATAAAATAATATGAAACTATAATCAAGTCTGATGTTTAATCACTTACCATTGTGACGTTTGTAAGCTTCGGTAGCTCACATAGCTGTGTTACAAATTTATGTTGAAACAAGGAGACCTTAAATTACAGATAACAAGATCTTGATTTCTGCATGAACTGTTCATAAAAACCTCTTTAATTACAAACAATTCCATATGATAATCCCTGATAAATTTTCTAATCAGGACACAAATAGATAACATTAATTGCATGAATACTACTGGGGGTCATGAAAACAAAGATAACTTAATGTTTTAGATATACATATTATTAATTTATTCAACGATAATCTACAACTGCAAAATTTTCTATTTTCTTTTTGTAAAAAATATAGGTAACTGTGTGCTTAGTGTGATTTTTTTAACTTCGCGATCGCGTGAAAGCTAACTCAATTTTGTATGAAATTGGAACAGCGCCCTTAATGGCAAACGAGGCAAACGTTTCAACTCCATAAAAATTTGAGCTCGTTTATTGGAACTTGGGATCGTTTTGAGCCTCTGGTTCTGCAGAGGGACTTCGTTTTTTTCTGTATTTTGTACCGTACGTCCGTTCTATGGGAAGTGGTCTGACAAATTGTTTGAGATGATTCCATCATCTCGTTTTTACCATCGAAATGCCCACCATTGGAGTAGAGTTCATCCATACTACCTGGAGCCACTACATTCATCCACAGTGCGTTTCCAGAGATCTTTTTTTCCACATACCATACGGCTTTCGAAAGAGCTCCCCTCCACGGTGTTTTCGGAGCGCTATGACATGTACTTAACGGTAGGCAGCGGCTTGGCTCTTCACCTGCTTAAGTCCATGGTCGACGGGAACCCCCCACCATCAGGTGGACCGTATCCTCGACCGCCTACCAAGGCAATAAAAAAAGTATTACTTTTACGATTCAATACTATTTTTTTCTTAATTATAGTAATTATTCTTTTGTGCTTAAATTTCACTGAATACGGTCTTTTGTTGTTTCAATACAAAATAAGATAGTTCAAAATGTAGGTTTCCCTAGTTTCTCCGTTTCTCCTCAATTCTCTATCTACCTACATGCAATTGAATAGTAAACAGTGCCATTATTACTTTTTTTTTTAAGTTCACTTCCTTCTGAATTGTATTAAATTAGCATAACATAGTCAACAATAACGGTTACTAATAAAGAACGAGATTATTAAGTTCTTCAGGGAAGCGGATAGGAGCATTTCACGAAACGCTATTATACCTACGAATAACCACGCGTTGAACAAACTTACATTTTCATACCTGTTTACTATTGTCTGTGATGTTGATTTAGATTATTATACCATATCCGAATAAATTTATTTATTTCGCAAAAGAAATGCGAAACGACATGAGGTGGTATGAAATAAAATCCATTTTTTTTCTACCTAAGCTTTTTTTTTTTTTTTTATTGCTTGATGTGTGGACTAGCTCACAGCCCACCTGGTGTTAAGTGGTTACTGGAGCCCATAGACATCTACGACGTAAATGCGCCACCCACCTTGAGATATAAGTTCTAAGGTCTCAAGTATAGTTACAACGGCTGCCCCACCTTTCAAACCGAAACGCATTACTGCTTCACGGCAGAAATAGGCAGGGCGGTGGTACCTACCCGCGCGGACTCACAAGAGGTCCTACCACCAGTAANCCTGGTGTTAAGTGGTTACTGGAGCCCATAGACATCTACGACGTAAATGCGCCACCCACCTTGAGATATAAGTTCTAAGGTCTCAAGTATAGTTACAACGGCTGCCCCACCTTTCAAACCGAAACGCATTACTGCTTCACGGCAGAAATAGGCAGGGCGGTGGTACCTACCCGCGCGGACTCACAAGAGGTCCTACCACCAGTAATTACGCAAATTATAATTTTGCGGGTTTCATATTTATTACACGATGTTATTCCTTCACCGTGGAAATCAATCGTGAACATTTGTTGAGTACGTATTTCATTAGAAAAATTGGTACCCGCCTGGGATTCGAACACCGGTGCATCGCTCAACACGAATGCACCGGACGTCTTATCCCTTAGGCCACGACGACTTCATGGACCTGGCTGACGACATCATGGCTGATGGTCTTCAGAGACCATATCAGCGTCACCGGGCCAGTAGATGAGCTTACGGGGCTCAAACCTGACCTTGTTGCTAACACGAACCCTAGCAAGAGCCGTGCTTCGCAGAATCTACCACCGGATCGGAAACGCGACCCACTGAGAAGATCCGGCGAGAAACTCAGTGGGCTGTGTCTGAGAGTTAATTTACTCGTCGAGCCCTTCTTCGCAAGCGACGGGTTCGACTAGAACGATGACCGGTGCATGGGGTACCTAAAATCACCGTTAGTGAGTTCGGGAGGATTCGAAATGACGTGTTTTGGGCGACGTCGACTGTTTACCATTCGGTCCGCAGGATCGGGAATGAAAAATCTCGGTAAAATGGTGATTATTTACTGAGGCATATTATTGGACTTTTTGGAAGCTATGTCCTGCGACTTTGTTTCTTTTTCCCACACTTGTGCACTTTCGCAGATGCTTAACAGTTAATAATCCACCGTTATTAGACATTTAAGACTGAAGTAACACTAAATTAACAAAATAAAACAATTAACTAATTAATTCGCTTATAATAATTAAGTAATTTCGCTCCTTGCGTTCCCGCCAAAAAGTCCATTACTTAGTATTGTTTTCTGATAAGTATTTATTCATACATTGTAGAATGATTGATACACGTGACAAATGCTGACAGACTTATTTCCCTCCACAGTCTAAAGACAACTAAAATCTTCTTTCTCTTATGAATAAGATCTTTGAACAAATATCAGGATGACTTCCTAAAGGTTTGAACGATGCGGAAAATTGATCTTGCTAGGATTACTCTACTTAGTTCTAACTATGAAGGGTAGAACTAAGGAGTACCATCGCAGTATATTAAAAAGTGTCCGTTGAAAGGAAGCCAATTAAAGCTACGAAGAAGTAGCAATTGGAAAGATTTTAAAAATAGCGTCATAAACTACCACACTTCGGCTAGATAATAATATGCTCCGTAAATATTAATATAAGTGTATGCTCTATGATGCCCCGCGAGCACTGCATCATAGATTATACACTTAATATATTAGAGACACTGCATTTCACTGCAAGGTTGACGTCATCTAGTGAATAATATTCAAAAATTGTTCTCTTCGTTCATTCGATTTGTTGTTTCAAGATTGTAATGTCAAAAATTTCATTCATTCATCGAACAGTCGTAGCGTAGAGTTGACGTTGCTCATCTTTTAAAATAAGAAAAAAGCCTTATTTTGTTTACTTGCTAATTTTAGAAGTTATTAAAACTTCACGAATTGCTCAACGTTTTAAGAAACGCAAAACATCACAAGTTGATAATCACCACATGGCTTAAAATTTAATAAACAAATGCGCAGGAGTTGCCGTCTTTGAAGTTTGATCGTTGTTTATTTTTCAAGCATTCTTTGATTGTTTCATTAAATCTTGCCATGTGGAGAAGGTCTTATTTAATCGTCGCGCTGATTTGTGTGGTGCCAATAGCATACGCATGCAATGAAGCTATATGTGCAAGCGTAGTATCAAAATGCATGTTGACCCAATCATGCAAATGCGATTTGAAGGACTGCTCATGCTGCAAAGATTGCTTCAGTTGCCTCAGCTCCTTGTACAGCGAGTGCTGTAGTTGCGTCGGTAAGTTCAAAATAACATTGTTATTAATATTCATAAGCTTTTGTCTTTTTTGTAGATTTTTTGTAAATATATTTCTAAATCTATGTACATTTTTAATTGTTTTTCTTTATAATAATATGTTAAAAGCACAATGTTATCATTTCAAAAATTAAAAAATTGAAGGGCTAATCTTTAAAAAAAAAATTGTTTTATATAAAACTCTGGACTCGTACAATTAAATACCTACACTCAATAAATTAGCCACACTATGAGGATTACATAGTTACTATCAGAGCGATACAAAGCTTTTCAAATGAAACATGATAAAATGGTCATAATTCTTAGTAAACTGACAAAGGTATCTTTATTGTCCCTAGATATGTGTCCCAAGCCAAATGACACGCAGACAGAACTATCAAAAACTTCCTATGTTGAGGAGCTTGGTGATGGAGTACCAGGCCTCTTTGCTGCTCTAACAAGTGATCCAGATGCTCAACAACGCTGGCTCTCTATGACATATCCAGTGGACATCGACCTATCAGCCTACAGACCTGTACCAGAGAAACAAGTTGTTTATCATTTACGTAAGTTAATAAAATGCACACAAAAGATGTTGCAAGAATAAAAGATGAGTGTTATTTTGTAAGGGTTGCACCATACCCTTACAAAATAACACTTATAAAACTCATTTTCTGTCCTAAATAAGAACACTGATATTGATAGTAACGCCCCACTTCAGTTTGTTGTGTATATAACAAGAGAAGAAGTTTCTCATTTGATCTATGAATAAAATCAGCATAAAGTAGTATTTCATTTTTTGTCTCCATATATATCCATTGATAAATCCTTTTACCGTTGTTTCATATATACTTAAACTAATATTTCTATATTAACAGCAATCTCGTAAACTTAAATATGTCATAAACATAACTTGTTCACGACATGATATGATCAAACGCCATTATAAAAATATAGCTAGGGATATAGTTTTTTCGTGTATTTCAGTTTTGTTTAATTGTTTCAATTTGATTTGCTTGCTCAATGCCGTTCAGGTTCATGATCATCTTCATTGCTGAAATTGTTAGTGTTAAAACTAGTAAAAACCAGTCATATCCAAAATCATTCATTTATTTAAACTAGTATATTTTCCCTGAAGACCCCACTATAATACCAAGTTTCAGGTATATTTGAATCAAACTTACAAAACAAATTAAATTAGCATTTCCTCACATACATTTTATATTAGATTTGGAAAAGAGCATAAACCTCTTACATATTCTACTGAGTAATGAAATTGCCATCCGAATCAGTCAAAAAGTAATTAAACTTTAAAAGCACCTGTGAAGGCCCATTTCGGTACAAATAATAATTTTGAACTTGATTATGTTCAACTGTGTATTGACTGGTTTGGGATTTAAAAAACTGGTGAAACTGCAAGGCATATGTCGATGCCTCCAATGAACACTACGCTAACTCCAAATTCGTAGGTTTACAGGAGGAGCATTTAAACTAAAAAAGTTGATAAAATCTTTATTATTGCAGATATATTTATGGTTTTTTCTTGTGTAACTAGCTGTTTTACTCTTGCTTCGAACCCCATCAATAATGATTTGTAATACTTTTAAAATAGTGAAGCAATTTACGTGAAAAATGAAAATTTAAAAATTTTGAGTTACAGTAGTGTTCATTGGAGGCATCGATCTGAAACAATATTTATGTTTTTATTTACTGTTAGTAGAGAAATGAGCTTGTACACATCAACATAATTGCCCCTAACCACATTGATACATGTGGTCAATTATTAAATTGTAATGTATAGATACATGTGCAACTCTACAAACTAGAAAGCATAACTTTTTTGCGGCCATGAGGACTTATAATACGCCTTACAATTCAGTATTACTATGTATTAGTTTATTTTAAATTTAAACCATTTCAATATCCCTGCAATAATATAAACATAGTACAAACAATTTTAAAAGCTTCATTCACCTATGATTTACTGGTATTATCTCGATAAGAATTTCAAAATGCAAAAAAAAGAATGTAATGTCACTTCCTTTCGAAATGTTCCTTTATTTTGACACTAAATAGTGACGTTACCTGAAAACATTCAATGAAATTCTTACGAAAAATGACCCGAACGATAATCGTGTACAAGAAAAAAAAAAGTACAAAATTTGGGTTGCCACCGGGAACGGTGAGTCACTGTTAAGGAATCTCANGATAAGAATTTCAAAATGCAAAAAAAAGAATGTAATGTCACTTCCTTTCGAAATGTTCCTTTATTTTGACACTAAATAGTGACGTTACCTGAAAACATTCAATGAAATTCTTACGAAAAATGACCCGAACGATAATCGTGTACAAGAAAAAAAAAAGTACAAAATTTGGGTTGCCACCGGGAACGGTGAGTCACTGTTAAGGAATCTCAATGCTACCTGTTCAAACTTTGATGACGTACAAATATGTAAGAGTTAGGTTGGACCTAGTTTGAAGGCGTCGTGGCCTAAAGGATAAGACGTCCGCTGCATTCGTATGTAGCGATGCACCCGTGTTCGAATCCCGCTGGCAGATACCAATTTTTCTAATAAAATACGTACTTAACAAATGTTTACGATTAACTTTCATGGTGAAGGAATAACATCGTATAGTAAAAATCAATCCCGCAAAATTATATATTATATTAATTTGCGTCATTACTGGTGGTAGAACCTCTTGTGAGACCGCACGGGTAGGTACCACCGCCCTGCTTATTTCTGCCGTGAAGCAGTAATGCGTTTCGGTTTGAAGAGTGGGGCAGTCGTTGTAACTATACTGAGACTGACACCCATCTAAGCAATAAAAAAAAATGTTGGGTAGACTTTCCACAAGGTCGAACGACGCCTTGTTGAAGATCGCGGGAATCGGCAGGATCGGTCGTTGTGGCGAGGTTTGGGTCTGGGTCTAGCCGTGAATGTGGACGTGGACGTCTGTGGGCTGAAAGATAGATAGAAGATATTAACCTACGTAATAGATTAGAATATCCCGTGCTCGGTAAAGCAGACCCATTTCATTCATTCAGTCAACTGTAGTATACTGTTTTAATAATATTTGGTGTGATGCACGTTTTTTCGAGAAAGAATAAGCCATGAGTTTCGCGCCGATCCTGCTTAGTGTAGGGACTGTCTTACGAAGCGCTTGCGTAAAAGGCCTAATCGAATAAAACAAACTTCTTCTCTTTATTTAACATTGATTTTTAAGAATAAAGTATCCATTGACCGATTCTTCTTTAATTTTTTTACATCGAAAAGCCTTTACCGTCTTCACTAGATGCCTGGTCTGATTGTAACAAAAAAAAAAAAAATGTGAGTTGTATATATTCGAAAAGACATCAAATGATGCCATAAGTTAGCGTTAACGTTATCTCAGACAGTTCAATAGTTACAGGAACCCATAGACCTCACACCAGTGACTAATGGCAAAACGTACTGTAATCGCAGAGGTAGACACTTAGACAGCACCATCCTGCTTATTTCTACCGCATTGCAGTCATGCGTGTGCTTAGTGCGAGTTTGTTAACGTTCTCGATAGCGTAAAAGTTAACTCAAATTTGTATGGAGTTGGAAAGTTTTCCTAAGTTTGGGACGCTCTTCCAATTGCATACAAATTTGAGTTAACTTTTACTCTATGGAGAACGTTTAAAAACTCTCACTAAGCACACTGGTCTAACCGTGGGAACAACTTTTATACAATTCAATTGAGACTTCAAGCTCGTGTTATATATGTCTATAGTTTCTCCTAAACATTTAACAGTAGTTTTTTTTTTTTTTTTATCGCCTAGACATGTGGACGAGCTCACAGCCCACCCGGTGTTAAGTGGTTACTGGAACCCATAGACATCTACAACGTAAATGCGCCACACACCTTGAGATAGAAGTTCTAAGGTCTCAGTATAGTTACAACGGCTGACCCACCCTTCAAACCGAAACGCATTACTGCTTCACGGCAGAAAGTTGGGTGGATGTTATTAATCGTCGAAATTCGCTTACGTGCCCTTTTAGTACGAGCTCAAATTTATGTATTAAATTAACATACCAGAAAGGTTAAGAATGTAATTTGAGAAGTATTCGATTTATTCAAATTAGTATTGAATTTTTTTTAATAGTAATTTTAAAACTTGTCAAAGATTAACTCTAGTTGATAATATTATTTATTAATATATTCTTTTTAATACTGCATAAACTATTGTATGTATGTATGTATATCGTCTTCTCGCATTAAAACTGTATAATCTCAAAATTTATAATTTTAGTGAGTGTTTTAAAGGCTTAACATGTGATATTTTTAATATTAATCATTTGCAATATTTATTTTTTGTTTTTTACTAGATACATTATCTGTTTTTAAAGTAAGATAAAATTATGTATTGATTTTGTTAATAGTGGTCAAAACACAGGTAAACTAAAAAAAAAAACTAAAACTAAACTACGCTCTTTTGACATTCGCTATTTATGAGAAACTAGCGACCCGCCCTCGCTTCGCTTCGGAAACATTAAAACACACATGAAACCAAAAAAATAAAATTAAAAAAAATGAAAAAAAGTAGCCTATGTTCATCAGGGACAATGTCGGCTTCTAATGGAAAAAGAATTTTTCAAATCGGCCCAGTAGTTTCGGAGCCTATTCGAAACAAACAAACAAACAAATCTTTCATCTTTATAATATTAGTATAGAAATACTGGTGATACCAAATGTTTTCGCATATCAACTCAATGTTGAATATTTTTGGAAATTGTACACTTTTAACGCGAAAAGGTGATATATGTTTCTGTATATATCTATATATATATATATATATGTGTGTGTATGTATTTGTAAATTAATATAAATTTCATTGCATCTACCACTATTTACTTTGGTTGACTTGTAGATAATTATTAAGTCGGCCAATGTAAATTTTACATGAAGTGTAATAAATAAATAATATTTTAACAGAGAGCGTGGAACAAGATTCGGAGCCGGTGAACACAGACGTGGTGACTTTCAACTGCACCGTCGCGTACATGTCCCAGTGCATGTCGTGCGACAAATGCCGGGCCTCGTGTCGGTCCATGGGCGCCAACAGCATTAGGTAACCTAGAAAAAACTTCTGACTAAATAATGAATGGTCGCTTCGTGGTAGCGTGGCTCTTGTGGTTCTTATGCGCTGCCACCTCTAATATTACCACTTTCTATGACCAGTTCCAGATCAACACTCTTCACATTCACTGCATAACGATTTATTTCAAACGAAATAGGTTCGTGTTCCTTCAATAATCGATATTCGAATAGACCCACCGTCACTTCGACAATTTTTTTGCATTGCATCTTTTGTCTAGTTACTGATTTAAAAAAAAAAAAACTTATAAATTATATCGATAACACTAAAGTCGATCGATAAAAATCGATTAGTATCGAACAAAGTAATCGTTAAGTCGCAAAATAAGCGACATCGGAGAAAATTCATTTGCCATAAATACAATGTTTATTCGCATGTCATTACAGGTGGTTCCATGACGGATGTTGCGAATGCGTCGGCGACAAATGCTTGTATTACGGCATCAACGAGAGTCGGTAAATATCTTAACTAAAAGATTCTTCGCACTTCACAGGGCTGAACACATCTAGTATTATATTTTACAGTGTTGCCAGAGTTTTAGTCATGGGATCTTTGTCATCCGTTTGTAGTTATTTTGCGTCTTTCTTACTATACTCCCTTATATATATGTACTTAGTAATAATGTTTATACAACAAGTACATAAACACGCGTATTTCTTTACTGCAATGATCTGTTTTTTTTTTTATTGTTTAGATGGGTGGACGAGCTCACAGCCCACCTGATGTTAAGTGGTTACTGGAGCCCATAGACATCCACAACGTAAATGCGCCACCCACCTTGAGATATAAGTTCTAAGGTCTCACGTATAGTTACAACGGCTGCCTCGCCCTTCAAACCGAAACGCATTACTGCTTCACGGCAGAAATAGGCAGGGTGGCGGTACCCACCCGCGAGGGCTCACAAGAGGTCCTACCACCAGTACAGATTGCTACTGATTATCTTACAGTCCGTTTGGTTTTTTTTTTGTACCTATGCCTAAAGGGTCTATTCCAACTACACCCGGACGGGCAGGTGAGCTCACGGGCTCAACCTGTGGGAATTTGCTAACACCAACTTAAGAGTAAAGTTACAAATATAAGATTGAACATGTGGCCCACCTTATCTAATATGGATAATGAAACATAAAAATACTATACGAAATCAGTCTACATTGCTTGAGAAAAAGTTGTGCTATTTTTTGATTAAACAAAAAAGTTCTATATTTTACATTTGAATGTAACAGACGCGTATACTTACGTACGTAAAACGGATACTTAGTATTTATATTTTTAGTAGTATTATTATACTTAGTAGTATATGTGGTATTTCTCTTCGGTTTTTACGAGTTCCTGACATACTAATATTAGGTATTAATATCTCATTTTTAGTGTCAATAAATTGAACGATTCGAATGCGATTTTTTTTAATTATTTATATCATTAACTAAAAAAATTATATTTTCACGACTCTGTTTTTTTAATTATAATAAATAATCTAATTAGTGAATTTATAATACATATAACTAACTGTACCCGTCCGCTTCGCTGGCCATTTAAAATTAACATTATTATTTCTCACCCCCACAAAGATTCTCGTCATTAACGCCCCCGCAACTAGTGTTGGGAGTCTAACACTCATATAAATATTAGCCTATCCATTAAGCACATGTATTTCCTACATAGATACCAAGTTTCTAGGCAATCGGATGCATGGTTCGGTAGTTATAACGGAGCATCCGTAAAAACCACTGTAGATTTATATATTAGTATATATTCTAATGAAGAAATGCGAGCTTTTTTCGTGTTTGTATCTCCAACAAAACTTCCTCGCATATTAAATAAGCCCATTACGGCCACCTGCGGCACAAGGCCGACCTAACGTTCTCGCATCTGCACACGGGATCGGATTACGCTCAGGTGTCTTGCGAATTAATATTATTTTAAACACATTTATTGCATATTCATTTATTATGACATCATTTCGTTTATCGGTATTACTTGAATCCTACAAGGAAATGTTATAATTAATATGAAATTACAAATGCTCTCCTCGTAATCTATGAAAGGGAATACCAGTATTGTAGATAGAAAAAATATTATAAATACATTTTACGGAACTCTTACGTTTTTATTTGAAAGTTAACAAAACACTAGTATGTTTATTTTTATTGCTTACATGGGTGGACGAGCTCACAGCCCGCCTGGTGTTAATTGGTTACCGGAGCCCATATACATCTACAACCTAAACGCCTAAACCTAACGGCAGAAATAGGCGGGGTGGTGGTACCTACCCGTGCGGACTCACAAGAGGTCCTACCACCAGTATGTCAGATACGAAGATAGTCTTGTGATTCCAAAGTACATAAAGATTTTTTATTTCGTTGGCACTTTATATTGAATATACTGTATTTATAGAATATATACTTAGTAAATTCAACCAATCAATTAAATACTCAGTACTGTTTTTTGTTTTTTCCTAACTAAGCTGATAGCCCTAGCGGCTATGTCAGCGTAACCCTAACTTTAGTAGGTGAGCTCACGGGGCTCAAACCTGACGATGTTGCTAACACGAACCCTAGCAAGAGCCGTGCTTCGCAGAATCTACCACCGGATCGGAAACGCGACCCACTGAGAAGATCCGGCGAGAAACTCAGTGGGCTGTGTCTGAGAGTTAATTTACTCGTCGAGCCCTTCGTCGCAAGCGACGGGTTCGACGAGAACGGTGACCGGTGCTTGAAGTACCTAAAAGCACCGTTAGTGGATCGGGAGGATCCGAGATGACGTGTTTTGGGCGACGTCGACTGCTTTCCATTCTGTCCGCAGGATCGGGAATGAGTTACTCAGTACAATAAACAACTCGCGCTTATATTGTCGTGGCCTAAAGGATAAGGCGTCCGGTGCATTCATATCGAGTGATGCGACTGTACCGATGTTCGAATCTCGCAATTAGATATCAATTTTTGTAATGCAATAAATACGTACTTAACTCATTTAGACGGATTATTTGCAAAATTTATTATTTCATCAATGGTTGTGTCATTGTGACCGGAATTGTTCATTAAATTTTTTATCTTAACTAGTGGTCCCGCAGTAGTCGAAATTCGACTATAATTAATTGGAATTATAAGTTTGTACACTATTGTGGTTCTATTTCCAAAAACTATTATACTTTTATAGTCACAAATTTCGCCAAGACTACACTATAGAAAATATTAATAAAGACAAACAATATTTAATCTATTCTCAATTTGACCACAGAAGTCAAGAACAAAAGTTTGATAATAAATAAATAGTATGCATGCGTGTGTGCGTCAAATACATGGTAGTGTGTGTAATGTTTTTTTTTATTTAATGTATTTTTTAGGCATAATTTAAAAAAATATTAACATATTGCACTCCTTCTCTATATTCTCTATAAGTGTGGGAAATTTCATACTCCTCCGTCCGCGCAAATTTCGTAAGAAGGGATACAAAGCTTTTCCTTCACGTATTAATTATTTTATACAAAAGTTTATTTTATATATATGTATATATATTAGATTACGTCTTAAATTATTAAGACTCATTTTCAAAACTGAACTCGAATCGATTTATTTGATCCGATTTTTTATGTAACGTTTTATGTATGTTATTACAAACGACGGTGTAACCAATGTGATGGTGACCGTCAGATTGGTTCTTCGGTTGGACAGTGATCACCGTTGTCCATGGACACTAACAATGCCATACCGATACAATGCAATAGGGGAGGCGGGTAGTGCGACAGTAAAAAGGATTACGTCGGACAGTCCTTGGAACAAGTCCCCGTGAAACATACGGTACAGAGAGAACCGAAGTTCCTATCTGTCTGAGGTCTGGGTCTACCATAGGGTTCACATGGTTGATGAAAACGGGATTATAGATAATTCGAACGCCCCTCGCCCCTATATTATATCAAAGAGCTGGTGTTTGGAAGCCGGGAATAGTGCTTTATCAATCAAAGCTTATGTCCAAGCGTCACAGTCATATAGCTGTGCTCTGTTGAGAATTCCCAACATTTTAGAAGTCAACTTCGCTTTACCATACCTATGACAGTACCAAACTCCTAATGATAAGGGATTATATGTATACACACTTTTTTTATTACATAGGTGGACGAGCTCACGGCCAATCTGGTGTTAAGTGGCTACCAAAGCCCATAGACATTAACGATGTAAATGCGACGCACCTTAAAACATGAGTTTTTATTATATTATATACTAGTGACCCGGCAGACTTCGTAGTGCCTCAATCGATAAATAAAATACCTAAGCTTTTGTATAAAATAAACTTAAAACAATCAAAATAAATCCGTCTGACGAGGGACACATCAAAGGAAAAACAAAATTGTTATTTTTATTTAATTCCGAGCATTTCATATTTATCTACCTTTTAAACCTTCTCTGGACTTCCACAAATAATTCAAGATCAAAATTAGCCAAATCGGTCCAGCCGTTGTCGAGTTTTAGCAAGACTAACGAACAGCAATTCATTTTTATATATATTGTGAAGTAAAAAATAACAAGCTTAATAAACAAACCAATTAAAATGTGTTTTGTGTTACCTTTCCAGGTGTCTTGCCTGCCCGGGTGGGAAGGAAACTTCGATTAATGCTATCGATGAAGAACTCACGTATGACGACTTGGATTACGGAGAAGACGTTGACGCACAATCTATTTAAAACAAATATTCGGTATTCACAACTTTAAATACATACACTCGTATATTATTATGTACATTGGACTTTTGAACGCGAGGAGCGAAATTGTGTAAATTGTTTTATTTTTTTAAATTAGTGTTTCTTCACGATTCAATGTGTAATAACGGTGGTTTATTAACTGTTTAGCATCTGTGAAAGTACACAAATGTGGGAAAATTAAACAAAGCCATTTAGACGTAGTTTCTCGGGTTCTTCCAAAAAGTCAACTGAAAATGTCTCTGTAAATAACCATCATTTTACTAAGACTTTATCTCAAATTAATCAACTTCATCTCGTTGCCCTTGTTATAATAAAATATAAGAAGAAATTATTAGACTTGGCTTAAAGGTCCCGTTACCAGGCCATAAGAATCTCCCAAAAAAAATTATATCTATAAATATGAGAATTCATATTCAGAAATATTTGTACTGTCCGATCGTTTGTTGAAGTATTGCCATAAGTGAAGTCACATTTTTTTTGCTGCTGAACCTTAAATAATTCTTAAATGGTAATGAGAGTATTCGAAAATACCAGAGGTATGTCAAAAATTTAAGACTACTCATTCTGATGAAAGATTTAGCATTTTAAGCTTAGTTTACGAAGCTATAAGGGCTATATTTCTGTGGACAGAAAAAAAAAACTAGCTGACATAAATTGAATTCTTGATTAGCGAAAATAGGGTAAATAGTATAAGTAAGATATTCTTAAAAATGTATTTAATATACTTGCAATACCTACACCTTACTAACGCTCCGAAGCTACGTGAATTGTTTTTTTAAAACACGCTTTTAACACAGTTTTCACCAAAACCTTTCAAATTTTTAAACTTGATATTGATTTTTAATTTTTATCTATTCATGCTCTGAAATTTCGTACAATAAGTGCTAAACTTATTTAGTGCCATGATATTGCTTCAGTTAAGCCTAGATCTAAATATAGATATTTAATTTGATTTAAAATGTTTACATTTGACGGAGCTGGCAAAAATAGACAACTTTTGGTTGTAATAAGTACACGCTGAATCGTTGATGGCAATGATGAATCGCGCTTACGACATTTTCAAGATAATCTAGCATATATAAAAGTTCCGAACAACAAAATTCGGACCGAGCGGATGATATTGCTCGGTAAGAAGATCTTTTGTCATCAACCATCCCCAAAACAGGGAAATATACTTGAAATAAGATTATTTAATTTAAAACGTTTTGAAACACCAGAATAATTATATTGATTTTATTTTGATTAGTTTTCATATTGTCTGCAGGGCCGATTTATTTTTACTTAATAGTATGATATAAATATGAGACTTCAATTGCGGAAAATGTGAGGTTTTTTCCTGTTTTTAATACACATTTAGCTTGACCTGTGTTGTATGTAGGAAGCGCGGAGTCTTTCCACATAGTTGATACAATTTTAAGACGTTTACTTAACTTTGAATTTTGCACACGTAATAAGGACCGACGACTATATAATAATTTTATTACTTACGAACGATATTACGAATACCTACACCTAATATCTTAAGGAAAAGTACCCGAATAAAAAAAAATACTTTAACTTTGATTTCGGCTTGCCGTCAGAGCATGCTATTTTAGTTTTTAAACTACGTACTACGTATTCATAAGACGATAAAATACATTTTACTTTAAGCAATATTTATGTAATGATTTTATTAATCTAAGTCTTCATATCTAACGATTTAGTTTGTAACCTTTATTGTTTATAGAACAAAAGAAAGGATCATTGTATTCGCCTAATTTCCGTCCTTTATGAATGAATCTCTATATTTTTAATATTATATACACGTCTATAGGTGTAAGTGCTTTCATAATGTATACAATTTCTTGTAATGAAATCTCAAAGTGCCAAAAGTGTTGCTTGTACAAAATTTTGCCATTTATAATGTTGCCAGTGTACTGCCAATGAAATATCTCAGTGCAGCCATATTTATTAAAAGTCTTTTTGCTTTATTTTGTATTTTTATGTCTTCACGATTTTGATAAAGTCATTTTATTATAAATACTCATGTTGAAACTTGACTTGGTCACAAATTTTCATAGAGTAAAATTATTGAACAAGAAATGCTAGTTTTGTACATCTGATTTACAAAAGTTCTTTTTCAAGTCACAAAGTTGTATGCAAATTTTTTTAAATAAATAAATGAATATTTTAATTAATTATTTTATTTCTGTGTCTGGGATGTAAATATGCTGCGAAGTTTTCTACTATGAATAACACGCGAAATTAAAAGTTTATTCAAAATTTACCCTTTTACTTTATATGGTAGGTATAATATAGGTTACACTATGATGTCCACTCCGGCGTCTCGCTACGTATATTCTGTTAAAATAGTTTGGCAACATTAATTTGCACAAAGGTACACCTTGCTCTTTCATTCAACAAAATCGTCTTGGCCTAAAGGATAAAACGGTGCATTCGTATTTAGGGAATCCCGCAGGCGGGTACCAATTTTTCTAATGAAATACGTACTGAACAAATGTTCACGATTGACTTCCACGGTGAAGGAATAACGTCGTGTAATAAAAATCAAACCCGCAAAATTAAAATTTGCGTAATCACTGGTGGTAGGACCTCTTGTGAGTCCGCACGGGTAGGTACCACGAAATGGTACCCTGCCTAATTCTGCCGTGAAGCAGTAATCCATTTCGGTTTGGAGGGTGGGGCAGCCGTTGTAACTATACTGAGACCTCAAATCTCAAGGTGGGTAGCGCATTTACGTTGTAGATGTCTATGGGCTCCAGTAACCACTTAATACCAGATGGGCTCTGAGCTCGTCCACCCATCTAACCAATAAAAAATAAATAAAAAAACATGTTTGAGGAAGGTTTTAAACAGGCGTTGCCTACAGGTCGTTAAAGCCGATCACTCGGAAAATCTATCAAGGTCTGGGATAGCTTATGACTAAACTCACGAAACTATAGAAAGATAGCAACATTCCGTAACACAAATGTCAAAACTGATAGCATCACTTACCGGCATGCCTATAGGTACCTGAAGAACTAAGTATAGCCGAAGGTAGAGAAAGGCGGAGAGGAGTTGTGCAACGGGTGATGAGAGAACAGTACTAGAGTCGACTTACAGAAAAGAAGATGCAGATTCAGAACTATATTTTGGGTTTCCTTAACGAACTTCAAAAAAAATATTCAGGTTTTTTCTGCATAATAAAACCGTTTGCGTTGATCTCGTTTTATTCGCTAGGAATCTCATCTGGTTCTCTAAAACCCTTCATAAAAAGAAACAACATTTATCCGATTCGCTTGAAGTCACTGGTCAGAGCATCTTACATATGATTTTTTTTTTATAAATCCGAAAACGCTGGTGTAACCCCGGATACTAAACCTTCATCTGTTGTAGAAACTAGTGGTAGGTACCACCTAATGACGTCACTGGAAAAACACTTCTTTCTACTCCAAGAAAATTATCCTATTTTTATTCGACCTTGAATGACATTCTGTGAGGTTGTGACCTTTCTGTTCATGAATTTATGAGTTTGGACTGTTTAACATCAAATAATGATAATTTACCGTTTATCTACCACAATAAACATGAATTCAATTCAAAACTCAAAGACGAAATAAATTCAGACAGGATTTATTCAAGATATAAGAAAATTCAATATTAAAATGAAATATTCATTATTAACTCAGTTGACGACAATGAACGTATGTTAAATGTGTTATGGCGTTTTAAATTTACACTGTAATTATTCACTTGAAACATTGGACAAACGAATCAAAGAAAACTTAATTATAGCCGAAACCCCGTGGCTCACAAAAAAATCCATCTTTTTTATTCGATTCAATCGATTAAAACGACTTTTAAAATTCATGAAATTTTCGATCTCGTTAATATTTATAAGTGATTTCAATTTACTTTTAAATGTACTTACCTGAACCCCACAACGGAAATTGATTACCATATTTATAGTCTATGATATAACGTGTGTTTGACATTCTCGAGTCTCATTCTCTTTGACGTTTGTAGTCGTCGTGGCCTAAGGGATAAGACGTCCGGTGCATTCGTATTGAGCGATGCACCGGTGTTCGAATCTCAGGCGGGTACCAATTTTTTTAATGAATTACGTACTCAACAAATGCCCACGATTGACGTCCACGGTGAAGGAATGACATCGTGTAATAAAAATGAAACCCGCAAAATTATAATTTGCGTATTTACTGGTGGTAGGACCTCTTGTGAGTCCGCGCGGGTAGGTACCACCGCCCTGCCTATTGCTGCCGTGAAGCAGTAATGCGTTTCGGTTTGAATGGTGGGGCAGCCGTTGTAACTATACTGAGATCTTAGAACATATATCTCAAGGTGGGTGGCGCATTTACGTTGTACGTCTATGGGCTCTAGTAACCACTTAACACCAGGTGGGCTGTGAGCTCGTCCATCCAACTTCAGCAATAAAAAAAAGCTTTCGTACCAGTAATTGGTGTTTTGCAGGACGTACGTACTTTAAATTTGATCTCTTGATGGCTGCTTCGTTAAATGAGACGACTTGTTCATTCCTTCATCAGCTCATTATTTTTGTACTGGTAATTATGAGCGTAGTCAATTAGGTTTTTATTTCCCTCCCTAATCTTACGGACTTGCTAACACTAGTGCTAGCAAGAGCAGTGCTTCGCTGAATCTACCGCCAGAATAAAATTGCGACCCACTGAGAAGATGCGGCGAGGAACTCAGTGGGGGCTAATTTCAGTTGTGTGGGCTAATTTTATGGGCTAGGGTGCCCGGCGAACTGGAGAATGGCAACCGATGCTTAGGAAGCCTAAAACCGCCGAAAATGCATCGGAAAGATTCGATAAGTTGTCTTCAGGACGACGGCGGCCTTGCGTTTTACAGTCGTCTGTTTCAGTTATGTGATTAGAGGTGGCTGCGATAAGAGGGTTTCAATAATGAGGACTTCGCAGATATTCAGAACAAAGATTTTTTTAATTAATTCACTATACCTCGATGCGACACATAGCATATAGATCTGGATCTAAATTATGTATTTTGTGAAGAAGATAAACCGGTTAAGTGGGCTTCAGGCAATTTACAGTAAACAATTCCTTACTCAGAA